TTCTTTTATTGCCTTACTTAAAGTGCTTTTTTCTCGTCTCTTCTTTTTAGCCTGCCACCAAACCCGGCTTCAATGCAGCACAAATGGCCATTGTTATGCGCAATCTTATGCTACGCATTGGTTTCGACAAATTTCTGGTGCAAGGTGGCGATTGGGGCTCCATAACCGGCAGCGCCATTAGCACGCTCTTCCCTGAAAATGTACTTGGTTTCCATTCCAATATGTGCACTATGTACACACCGTTGGCACTTGCCAAATTGTTTATTGCCAGTTGGGCGCCAGAGCGTTATTTGCCTTCGCGCTTCTTTTACGAACATCATTTCCCGCTGAAAGCAAAATTTGCGTCACTATTTTATGAGATGGGCTATTTCCACTTACAAGCTACCAAACCGGACACTATTGGCACTGCTTTGCAGACCAATCCAATCGGCTTGGCGGCGTATTTCCTAGAAAAATTCCAAACAGTCACTGGACCTGGTCTAAATCAGCAATTCAACGCTATGGACAAGGTGTACAAACTGGACCCACTGCTGGACAATATCATGATTTACTATCTCACCGATACGGCGACGACATCGGTGCGCTTCTATGCAGAGAATTTATCCAAGGAGTTCTTGGGTTTGCAGTTGGATCGCGTGCAATCACCAGTGCCAATGGGCTGTGCACGCTTCAAGCATGATTTAACGCCGGCGCTCGACTGGGCGCTCAAAGACAAATTTCCAAATTTGGTGCACAGCACATACTACAATCAGGGTGGTCATTTTGCCGCTTTCGAATTGCCTGGTATGCTGTATATTAATTTCCAAGAATTTGCGAAAAAGGTGAATCTTGAGTAATTTTCTACGCTTTTTTCTAAATAAATGTATTTGATTAAGAAAAACTTCATCCGCTTACTTATAGTTTTATGGGGAATTTGTGTTAAAATCAAAAAAACAAACACTATTTATCCAAAAGTAAATTGCAAAAAGCAATGAGGTGATCAAGGACCTCATTTCCGGTTCCGAATAAGAAGACGAACCTAAAAAAAAAAAGAATTTATTTTAATGAAAGAAAATAAATAGTCTTATTCTTACCAAACGAAAACCATTATTTATTCTCGGTGTCTCGAATGTTGCAGTGCACACGCACCAGTGTTTGATTTTTACTGGCAAGTTCATGTGTCAAGGTTCTATATGCGATAGTAAAACAACAAAAATAAAAATCAGCAAAACAAGCAAAAAAAAAAAATTAAAATTTACTCACTCACCTTTGCCAGCTAGCAATCACAGATGGAAATGTTTACCATTAATCGATAGCTCCAAGAATAATTATAAAAATCAAATCAGAAATTGATATTTAATTTTTTACCCAGCAAATTCCTCTACAAAACGTTTAAATTTATATTATACGTCTCACAGCGGCCAACAGGTAATTTCGCAATATGATGAAATATTAAACTGCCGACAATTTATTATAGTGCACGAAAATATTCGTATATTGTACGAATTTAAAAAAAAAAAAATGTTTTTGGGGCATTTCGCGTCAAGCGGATAGCGAAAAAGGGTGATGCTTTAGAATTCCGTCATATTGTGGGTAATTGTACCTGTGTGAAATATGAAATTGTGTGCATTTTTTTTTTTCTTTATATGATGATTACTTTTTGAGTTGTGGGCTTCTAAAGAATAGTAAAAATTAAAATTACGTTTTTTTCTTTATTATTTTTTAGTATTGAAAAATATAAAAAAAAAAAAATAGAAAGCCTGGGCGGCATTTTGGACAACAAAACACACTGTACGATCACGTCTCTTTCGTCTAAAATCTCCCTACGACTTTTAAAATGAAACGACTGTTCTTCTGCAATATAAGCATGTGGTTTCAGAGTGTATGACACAAACTGTCCACAAAATCGTCAATGGACAGAATTTGAGTGGAGATTGTGAAGCGGTCGGTGTGAAACCAATTTTTAAACTATACGTAGCTTCATACTTAGTGCGAGGTATATGTGAACAAATTTACATACCTCCCAAACTTATGCAGATCACACTCTAATAGCCTTATTCATAAAAAAATAAAGAAGCTTTAAAAAGGTTTATAAATTGCGAAAAATATTATAAAACGTCAATTTATAAAGCTCTTTAAACCTATTTTATTTTTTATGAATATCGCCATACAACTTTTGGGGTATTACAATTATACCTATGGTTATATTTTAAAAAATAAAAATAAATTTTAAAAATATTGGTGGAAGGTTCTCAAATTTTGTTTTTAAATTTTCATTTCCGGTGTGGATTAACAAAAAAAAAAATAACATTTTAAAAAGCGAGAAATTTTCTAATAAAATCGCGAAGTTGAAACATTTTTATAATTCTTTTTCAAGACGTAAAAATGCGATAAAAAAACATAACTTTAGTTTTTAATATTTTTTGGAAGCCCACAACTCGAAAAGTAACCATGATATAAAGAAAAAAATAATTCACACAATTTCATATTTCACATAGGTGCAATTACCCAAACTAAAGTAAAGTTGATGAAGTATATTCTATATAACATATTCTTGAAAATTGCACCTGAGCTGTTTTTCAGTGCACGGCCGTAGTTTAAGCTCAGTTTAAACGCCCGATCTGGTTGGTTTAAACTAAGATCAGCCAATCAAATGTCAGCCAGCTGTTCAATTTAAACTCAGTTTCCTTAATCTAAATTTAAACTGGCACTGAAAAACTGGCCCTAATACACCCCGAGTAATGAGTATTTGGAAGTTAGCATCCGAAAGGAAGCTCAAGAAAAAATTCAATTTTTCCGCTGGCCCACTCATTTATCGATAGAGACGGACAGTTCTCAACTTGTATAATGTGTACATAAATCGGTAAGTGTACAAAGTTTAAGCTATTTATCAAGGCGAACGTTTTTAAATTTTAATCAGGATCACAAAACAAAAATCGATAAAAAGTTAATAAAACCAGGCGAGGTGTTTTAATGTTTTTGGCGTCGCTGAACTCGAATCTGAAGTCCGTTTTGCTCCATCACGTCAGGATTTGCTTCTAATCTCAAAACATATTACGAAACACGATGAACTCCTCCAGAAGGGCTTCGGAAGTATGTGCGTCCTATAAAAGCCCTTCTGGAAGGCCTTCTATGGTTAGCGAAAGAAGAAGCCCTTCAATTGATGACAGTCCATACAAAAAATAAAGGAGAAAAGAATGTGGAGTGGAAGGCCTCTTGACTCTCAGCAAGGCCTTTCGGAAGGGCTTTTAACTCCTGAAATTATCTACTAATACAGCCATGCACGACGAACTTTTTGGCATTCGTCCTGTTGTGCTGCAAATCCCGCGGATCTCGCATTGTGTAATCCCTCATTTCTGATCACGCAAAAATGGCGCGGAATCCCGGGATTGGATTCCCTAGTTGGTTACTACGTTACAAGATGAATTCCGAAATCAGGCATGGCAGATTTTCGTCATATTTTCGTACAGTTGAATAGATTTGACGTGATATGAAATGTGCAACTAAATGTACATACAAATTTTTTAGGTGCATTCGTCTGTTGTTACGAATAATTTTTTCTTCAAATTAAGTACAATTTGAAGAGAGGCGGGAAAGCCAGCGCTTTGAGGGATGAAGCAACACATATGTAGCAAATATGAGTGTGCATATTTTAAAGGCAAGCTTGTAGGATATATTTTCCTGGCTTAACTAAACACGCCAATAAATAAATATCGGAAATCATAATATATGTATGTAGGAATATAAAAAAGTTGTCCATATACTAGTACTCACTAAACCATAATCGACTACATTTTTACTAAGTATTATAAGTATACGTATGTGAGGGGTAAAAAGTGCTTCGCTTTTGAAATAAAGAGCAAGAGTAGACCCAAGAATATATCGTTACCTTAATATAGAAAAGCCCTAACTCATTTTCTTTCGAAATTCTCTTTTTGTACAAAGGTCGGTAAATGGCTCACTAAAGGCCCAATAAAATTTAAAAACAACTACATACATAATAAATAAATCAATAAATTAGTTTCAGCGTATATTAAAACCCAGGACTTTGAAATTTTCGCTACAGGGTAGGTAGAACCTTATGTATATCTAAACACTTTAACTGTACACTTATATGTACATACATATGTTATTTATGAATATTAAGTGTGTATGTAATTATGTATAGAATAATGAGATTGCAAGCAGCCGGCATTTTT